TGTACGATAGTTGAGGGACCAAAATGGAGGTTTAACCATACATCTAGGGTTGCCAATGGTTTACATTTTATAGTTTGGTTTCTTAGATGTGGATGATGTAGATGAGCATATTGATTATTATTTGTTTAGAAGATTATAAAAGATACTGTCTTTCAAGCTAGTACTTTTCCTCAATATTAGTGATTTGGTTCCCTCAGGGTGGTGTGTTAAAGTTGATCCCATCAGACACGCATTATTCATTGTGTGAATTTCCATTATATTCTCCAGAAGAGCTTTTCTGCATTGTCACTGTAACTTCTGACTGTATAGACCATGTTTTGTTCCCTTTCTTCAGCACAAATTGTAATCATGCATCATGTGGCATGTTCTCACTGTTCCTAAAATGACTTTCAACCTAGGATGAGAAAGACTTGGATCTTTATAACCTAAAAGATAAAGAGAGTCATACACCTTTAGCATTTTAGAATGAACAAGAATGAATACAAAGCCTGAAAAAGGGGAGAGTGATTTTTTATCACTCAATTCCTCTTTTTAGATTTTATTTAAAAAAAAAAAATTCTCCAGAAAGCAATTATTTAGGTAAATACATCTTCTCTGTCTGAGTTTTCATGTTGGTTATCAATTCAATTACAAAAATGTTCTTTTCACTCTGGACCAGCCAGCCCAGACCTGAAATGACAAAAATGCCCACAACATCATGAGTTTACCAACCTAGACTGTTGTGGGCATTTTGAACATTTCTCAATTAATTAAAGTCCTGACTTGGGGAAAAAACAGATAATTTTGTTTCACAAATTTCTTTTCTTTTTCTTTGATAGAGGACAAATTCACCTGAATTAAAGCTTTGATTTGATGTAGATTTTGATTTGAAACTAACAAATTAATTTGAAACCACCAACTCTATCTAGTAAAAAAAAAAAAAAATTGCAACTATCAACTTAAGAGGTAGATTTTGATAGCTCATGCATCTATCCCTTTGAAATGACTTCCTTCTATTTCAACAACCAAGGTGAAAATTGAAGATTTCAACGTAGGGCATGTTTGGCCGAGTTTCTAGAAGTTTCAGTTTTTTGATACTATTCATATTTCATAAGTTTAAATTTTTTTTTTAAAAACTTATATTTTTAATTTTTTTTTAACATTAAAAAGATCTTAAACAGTAAAACCTTAAAAACTTCAAATTCAAATTTTTTATAAACTTCTTTTTTACTTATTTTTCACTCATTTTTTTTTTTATCTCTAAAAGCAATTTAAAAATTTTTCCTTTAAAAAAAATTTAAACTTATCACTCATAACAGTATTTAAAAAACAAAAATTCTCATAAGTTAAACCAAACATGCCCTTAGTGATGCAAGATGTATAATCTCAGTGATTCTTGGCGAAAACTGAACCCACATAGCAGCATCAAACTCATCTGTTATATGCAAACTTTTGTTTAACTCCCTGAATACCTTAGTTTTAACGGTACGTAATTTTGATTTTGCCTCCCAAGTTAGCTTGGAGTTCTAATCCATTCTAAATCCATCTTATCATCATTGCCTTGCCTATTTCTGGATCATCTTCTATCACGAGTTAAAGTTTGATATATTGTTTATAAATCAATATCAACCTCTCATCTATCTCAAACCATTTTCTTATAGACTGGGGGACAAAAAAAAAAGAAAGAAATTCTAAGAACTATATTAGATCATGGTCCTGCAAGGTCTATTGTAGATTCAATTGATATGATTAGTTAAATTTCAAATCAATGTAGAAATATGATATTTGATTTACAGCTTAAATTCTGGGGAAATGCCTAACATGTTAATTCACGGCATGTGCTTTCTTTCTTTTGCAATGCTTCTTTTCTGGTCAAATGAGCTGTGCCAAACTTTAATAACACCTAAAGTCATTTCTTATGCATAAATTACGGGTTTATTAAACTTAGTTTTCACTTTCTTGGTTTTGACTCTGACACATGTAACAGATCTGAAGTTTCAAACTCTTTTACCTTCATGCTCTGTGTTACAATCTCTATTCAATTAGTTTTACCTCCTCTCCTTTTTTTTTTTTTTTTTTTTGGGGGGGGGGGGGGGGGTAGCGGTGGTCGAGTGGGTATATTTTAGGTTTCATAATAATTAAGAGAATTAAGCACAAATAGATTTTCATACTCATGGATAGACATCATTTACAAGGACATTTTACTATATTACACTGTACCTGGTATTAATAATACATAGCCAAAACTTGGACACAGATTTTCTTCCTATGTTTTTCTCAGATCATTTACACAGGGTTGCATTTGAAGCAACATGTTCTTTAATTCAGTTTTGGTTTGATGGGGTTATGATAGAAACAATACAGAATAACATGACAGATGCTCAGACCACCAAAACATCTTTGCTGCTAAACTAGAGGAAAGAAACTGAACTCCCTTATATAGATAGATATATGTCTGTTAGATTGCCGTCTAAACTTCCCTTCAGCCAACCTCAGAAGTAGACTCGGATTCAAATCTCCCCTTGGAGAACCCAAGCTGGAAGCTGAAAAGATTTTCTCTTGACCAGAGACAAATCTTCATCTTCTCTTGCTTGTAACTGGGTTTTAGTTTGTGGCTTGAGGGTTCCTCATACACCACATCCCAAGCCTCTGGCTTCTGATCCTTTCATGATTCTGAATCTCTTGCATGAATTTATGAACATTCTGCAATAAGAGTAGAAACCCTTGTAAGTTACAGGCATATCTAGGATAGATTTCCTGAGAAAATAAGGGAAGGAAGAGAAACTTACTCCCAAGGAACATCTCCAACCAGCATCCAGTCTCCATCCTTGTCTTCGTAAGTAGGGGCATATTCTGATCCCTTGTATCCTTCTCTCTCTGAGTAAACACCTGAAAAGGTAATTCTATGGTCATTATCAAAGCATCATAAAATTCATAAAACAGTCCAATCATATAAACATCAAATCAAGAAAAGAAGTATCAACAAAAATCAACATTTCTTACCTATGGTGAACTTGAACATATTTTCCAGTGCTTTCAGGAGCTCAGGGTATCCCTGATAAACCTTCAGGTCAATCTTTCTCAGGTATGGTGCTCCATCCATGCTCACTTTCACATAAATCCCCGGAGCCTCTGGCTCGCTCTTCTTTGCCTGAATGTTGTTTTTCCTGTAGGATCTGATAGGAGGCCAACCAACTATTTGTGTCCTGCATATCACATAACATCTATCTCATCAGTTTCTGTTTGATTTTTCAGATTAGAACAAGATTTGTGTTCAACATCAAAGATTCACTTACTTGGCAGGAGGGGCTGTTTCAAGTTCAGCATCAGATTTGCCCTTTCCTCCACACTCCTCAGCCACGGTGGCATCTGGCAGTGGCCTCTTGTTTCTAACATTGTAATCTGCTTGTTCCTCCACTTCATCTGTGCCAGGCAAACCCAATCTCAGCTCAGTTGCCTTAAGGTTCAAATCATTTCCAAATCCCAAACCCTTCTCCATTTTTCCACAAACCCTCAACCAAAAACACAAACCCAAATGCACTTTTCCTTAGCAAAACCAAAGTAGTTTCTTCTTCAACAGCTGTAGAAATCCTTGAAGCCTGAGAGAATAAATGAGAATGCAAGTTGTGATGGACGGTGGGAGAATAATGCAAAGGTGGGTGTTTTTATAGGATATATAAAAGAAAGCAGTAGTGAAGGGAAAGCCTTGTTATTCTTTCAATGCATGAATTATGGACAAAGGCAAGCTAAGCTGTCGGTAGCAAAAGCAGCAACTTTGATGCAACCTGCCTTTGGAGTGGGGGGACAAGGGTGGGACAAGGCTCAGCCGCCCAGATGGAAGACTTTGGTGGGGGGTCCTAGCTTGAACCCTTGAAGGGTCAAGATGAGTTCTTGGCTTCTGTGGGTTTGTGGCAGAGAAATCAGGACCATTGGTTTTCATTCTCCTATTTTGAATATATGGGTATCTCATTTTTAATGAGGGGGAAATAAGGATATCATTTAGCATTCCAATGTGGGACATGGGACCCAGTTTAAGTGTTGGGCATGGGCACAGCATGGCCATGTGGGTCCTACACGGTTTTTGAAATTGTCAAATAGGATTGTTGGGTGGTGTACAATACAAGTCTAAGTCTAACACATGTTTTCGTGGGATTTTTTAGAGTTTTTATTTTTTTTAATATTATTTATGGGTTGTAAATTTAAATTTTTATTAAAAATAAATTTAAAAGTTATTTTTAAAAATAA